ATTGTAGGTTTTATTTAATAACTAGCTTAAATGATGCGGATGGCCTCGATTGGGCCATCATCACAATAGCTAGGAAGGAGTAGATGTGATAGGCAACAATAAATTACAGAACTCAAAATTGATAGCTGCATTTAATATTTAATATTTAAGCTTACCTTTTACTTTCCGTACAGACAATTATTTTTATTTTACGGGTGACTTTCACTGGATTTCGCAATTAATTTCTATTATTCCCAAATTTATTTCGAAGTTATAAAATTTGTTATCGTACAAAAAATTCGTCGCCAAAAATAACATAAAAAAATCGCCGAAAACAATCGCAGTAATGAAAAATTGGGAATCAGGATTGCGGGTTTGGATCTGACTTGGAATGTTTTTTATTTGCTCATGGAGTCAACTTGATTCAAAATATATCGGGCTACGGAATCTAGGAGTAAAGTTGATAAAGTGTGATACACTGACATTCGCATTTATTATATAGATAAGTGGAAGGCAAAATATGAAATTGGCATATCAAACTTACGTGACGAACGGCTCGTCAAATTTCATATTAATCTTCTACTACTCATCATCATCATCATCATCATCATCATCAGAAGAAGAAACAACGAACCCACGTTTTTTCAGATGTCGAAAGGCAGTTGGGATATCGATTTTCAAACTCTTCAAATCAATCGCTTCTGTCGGTTTATTCTCCACGATGGAAAGCTTTATTGGCGTTGGAAGGTCGCCTGGAGCGTGGTTGATTGCTTAGGTTAAATTAAAATCAACCTGACAGAATCCGCCAAACCATTTTTTGACCGTTTGAAGAGAAGGAACCTGAACCAAATGAACCTTCTGAATGTATTTTGTCGCGGATTCGACGCTTAAACATTTTCAAAATTCATACAAATACGAATATGCCGAATGTGCAATTTTTCATCCTCCATCTTTAACAAATTCAGTTGTGGACAAAAGCCAACATTTAACAAAGTCTGAATTGCAACTGAATAATGCAAGGTTTCAATGAGAACATACCAGAAATCGGCAGCAAAACAAATACCAGTGTCAAGTTGCAGTCATTCGAGCAGGAAGGAACTTTTGTAATGATCTGAGGATATATATATATATATATATATATATATATATATATATATATATATATATATATATATATATATATATATATATATATATCATGAATATACATAATATCCAACTTTGATAGCACGACTCGGAGTTTCATGCAGTTCTTGCAATTTTCACGTGTAAATATATTCTAAAACTGTTATGGAGTTCGCATTCTCGTGATGATTCAAAATTGTGTGTTAAAACTTGTTTAGTTTATGTAATTATTGTCGCGTAAAATATTAGAATTAAGTATTAATAATTTATACCATTCAACTTCTTAAGTTCGAAAGGCGAAGAATTAAAAAAATAAAAAAATAATTATAAAATTATATAAATTTAAATTTAGATTCAAAAGTAAACAATATATCAAGGGGGGATAATTCTCTATCTTTACTAAAAATTACCTTAGTTATAACAATAGTTTTACAGCAGTTGCATTGACTTTTAGTTGGATTACATTTTAGTGTTTTGTTTGGGAGCTTGCTTAATACATTATTGTTAGTGAAATCGTTCTTCATTAAGTAATCAGTAAATGTTGCCGAGTTAACTTTGGGTTCTTAAAATTGCGATTCACTGCTACAATCGATCATAGTTTTTTAGTTGATTTTAATAAACGTTGATAAGAATATAAAAGTCTCTTTTCATTATTAACGCTGACAATTTTAAAACGATAAACTTTAGCAAGTGATCTTGGAACAATGTGCCAAATATGCTATATATCCCATGAAATTAGCACTACATCATTATAAAATTTCTAACTCGGACTAAGTGACAATTTAGTCGCAGTTGTAAAAAAGAGCTTATTTTAAATTATTAAAAATAATTTACAATAAGACATTCTGTATCACAACGATTTATTGTCCTTTCTCAAGAAATACACACGTCTTTTGAGGATGATTTTCTTCATGAAAGTTTCGCAAAAAACCTCAATTGGATGACCTTTTAATGTTTTCTCTGAAATGAAAAAAACAAGCAAAGAAAAAATAAGCAAACAAACAAAAAAAAAAAACAAAACAAAAAAAACAAGGCAAACTTAGTCGTATTTTACTGGAAGATTAATCTATATTCATGCATCACTGACACACGATTTGAAGAATGCCAAATTATTTATCACTAAATAACACCACCAAATTCTTGAAGATGTCTATTATTTCTATTTTGGTTAAAGTAATACGAATTTTATATTTTAGCTAAAATTATAAGAAAGTAATTATATTTGATGATGAAAAAAATAATATATTTAGAAACGTATGTACCAAGATATAATTCAGTTAGTAACAAGTAAAATAATGAGAGATAGCTAACTATTTTTAGTGGAATTTTGTATAGAACAATATATTGGAAGAAATATGTTAAAATCAAAGTGAATACAATCGGTATTTCTACAAATTCGCTATATTTTTGTTTTAAAATGTATTTTTAAAAAATGAAAATGCTTTATTGAAGCTTTAATTTTAGCTTTAATTGAAAGCTAAAGGATTTAAAATTTGTTATTTCCAGTCAGAGAAAATACTCTTTAGTGTATTTAAAATGAGAAATTATATTAATCGGAATCAGTAAAATCGATAAAAAACGGCCATTTTGATAGATTTGTAAACAAAAGTTAACTGTCAGTTTTAAACATCTTGTAAAATAAAACATTTCTTAACCACGTGTTAATCGAATTACGGCCGAACGTGTTCATAGTTAAGTATGTTGGAGCAGACGATAAAGTTTATAAGGGGCGACAACTCTTAAAACACATGTCCTTTTAATAATAGATTTATCGATTTGTACATCCATACTTTAGAAATTCTGCACAAAAAACAAATTGAAATTCTTTTTAAAATATTCGGGGTCATAAGCTTTACAATATGTGATTAGTAAATATAGTTTTGCTTAATAACAATATTTCTTTAGAGTTATCACATTGAAACTGAATTTTATAAAATTTAAAAACTTTATAAATTATTCAATTTAAAATTGTAAAAAATGAAAACAAATCTAGTCAAAATTCATTTTTCATTGAATTTTTTTTTCTTCAGACAATATTATTTTTAATATATACATATTAAAGGAATCATAAAATGAATAATAAAGGAATCATAAAAGGAATTAAAAGCTTCTCTAATTAAATAATGTCTTAGTTTTTTGCGGTTTTTATTTTTCGATTCATAACAGATTTTCAGTAAGACGTGATCCGATTTTGCAAAAACATTTCGGTGATTTAAATTCTTCAAATAATTCTACTTATAACTAATATAATCACAAAAATATCATGGTGAATTTCTTGAGTTTTCGTAAAATTAAATAAGGGGGTGAAACACATGTAAAACATATTATTACCAAGATAATAAATAATTTTTAATATTACCAAGATAATAAATAATTTTTAATATTACCAAGATAATAAATAATTTTTAATATTACCAAGATAATAAAAATATTTTTACCAAGATAACAAAAAATTTAAGAAAATAATTTCATTTATTTGTGAATAAGTCTTGAAAATTTCATTTAAATCAAATCCAACAGTTATTTGATTTTTGCAAAAATTTCCAAATTAATGTGTCTGTCACTGCAAAAAAAGGGGCTATGCAATCTGCTATACTAAAAACCGCTGACACAAGAAAAAGACATTTTTTAATCAAAATTTGGAATGGAGTAAAAAATTTAATAACATAATCAAAAAATACTTTGATCCTTCCTCTTAATAATAACATAAAAATTTTGACGATAAAACTATGTTTTCATTACATTTTTGAAGAATGTTTTTCTCAAGGTGGGTATGCTAAGTTTTCTTTTAGCGATTTTGTGGACGTATCTAGAGTACAATGTTCTTTACAGATAAACTTTGACTTTTTAAAAGAAGTAGAGAATTAATATTAATAAAAATATTATGTTGCATGGAAGGCAACATCACATTTTTAAGGAGATACAAACTGATGCAAATATAAATAAATTATATTTTATTTATAAAGAGCATAATTACTGTTATTAGCAATTGTCGCAGTCCATATCTTCCTTATTATTCAATATCCTAGCACTAAAATGATGTTCTCGTAATTGAAACAAATACTAATCCGAATATAAGTTTGCTGAGCATGTAGTGTGAAATGAAATTTCTGAGTCTGATAAAGGTTTCTCATTTTTTATTACCATGTGAGGTCGCCCAACACCTTGTTGGGATATAGCACTTTTTATTAAAAAAAAATGCATATTTCTAGTGTAATATACTACCGAACATATGTTTTGATGATGGCTTGCCCAGGGGTCCAGTCACTGGTGAGGAGTGATATTTTACTTGGTTCATAGTTCTGTTTTTGTCTTAAATCGACTTGATACAGAATGATAACCATTACTTTTTAAGCTTGTTAAGATAGAGTACACATTTAGTATATGTACTAATCTGGTTGTGGTGAAAATAGAAGAACTCTTTAATCTTTCTCTGACTTTCCAGGACTGAATGATTTCCCTTTGTTTTGTCTTCCTCTCTCCATGAGGTAGTCGGCCATTTTCCTGTCACTGCCGGAATAGATTTCTAGTAGAATAAAGCTTCACTCAAGCTATACGGACTCAGCCTTTCTTTCACTTCCACTCAATCCATTGTCATAACAATTTATTTTACTAGAAATCTATCAAGATGGAAAAATATCTGTCGCACCTTTTCTTAAACAACCCCGGATATGCCTGCCGGTAGAGAAAGGTCACGACCCTTGTGTGCTAAAAATAGCAACGACATCATTTCAAACTGACAGAAACACACAAAACTCAATTTTCGCCACTAAACAAAAATAAAAGACCTTTAATTTCGAACCAAAATTAATTTAAATACAGTCAACAAACACCGAACACACTTTTGACTGTAATTAATACGGCCCGAAATTAATTATATTCATTTACTTGTTTAGCGTCACCGCTTCTCTTGTATGAACCGTCATATCTAGATGCCCGAGACTTCGCAGCGGTTTTTAGCCGGCCACGGAAGGAGCCCGGCCGTCGGGCTGGGTTGCGACCATGGCAAAGTCTAGTTTGGACCATATCAGGACCTGCTAAGACAAACTAGGTCTAGCTTGGACCAGAACTTGACTAAGCTTTCACCAGCTTGGACATGTTATGACCAATCTTTGACCAGTGACCCTATGCGGAAACGCTCGGGTTTCCCACGAAAAACGACCTTGTGTCACGTCATGATCACGTGGGAGTCAAGTAATCCCACGAAAAACGACCTTGTGTCACATCTTGACCTCGTGGGAGTCAAGTAAATACCGCCGGCCTTCGGGCTGGGTTGCGACCATGGCAAAGTCTAGTTTGGACCATATCAGGACCTGCTAAGACAAGCCAAGACCAGAACTTGACTAAGCTTTGACCAGCTTGGACATGTTATGACCAATCTTTGACCAGTGACCCTATGCGGAAACGCTCGGGTTTCCCACGAAAAACGACCTTGTGTCACGTCATGATCACGTGGGAGTCAAGTAATCCCACGAAAAACGACCTTGTGTCACATCTTGACCTCGTGGGAGTCAAGTAAATACCGCCGGCCTTCGGGCTGGGTTGCGACCATGGCAAAGTCTAGTTTGGACCATATCAGGACCTGCTAAGACAAGCCAAGACCAGAACTTGACTAAGCTTTGACCAGCTTGGACATGTTATGACCAAAACATTGACTAAGCCTTGACCAGCTTGGACATGTTATGACCAATCTTTGACCAGTGACCCTATGCGGAAACGCTTGGGTTTTCCCACGAAAAACGACTTTGTGTCACATCTTGACCTCGTGGGAGTCAAGTAAATACCGCCGGCCTTCGGGCTGGGTTGCGACCATGGCAAAGTCTAGTTTGGACCATATCAGGACCTGCTAAGACAAGCCAAGACCAGAACTTGACTAACCTTTGACCAGCTTGGACATGTTATGACCAAAACATTGACTAAGCCTTGACCAGCTTGGACATGTTATGATCAATCTTTGACCAGTGACCCTATGCGGAAACGCTTGGGTTTTCCACGAAAAACGACCTTGTGTCACGTCTTGACCACGTGGGGAGTCAAGTAATCCCACGAAAACGACCTTGTGTCACAACATGACCTCGTGGGAGTCAAGTAAATACCGCCGGCCCGAAGCAGCCCGGCCTTCGGGCTGGGTTGCGACCATGGCAAAGTCTAGTTTGGACCATATCAGGACCTGCTAAGACAAACTAGGTCTAACTTGGACCAGAACTTGACTAAGCTTTCACCAGCTTGGACATGTTATGACCAATCTTTGACCAATGACCCTATGCGAAAACGCTCGGGTTTCCCACGAAAAACGACCTTGTGTCACATCTTGACCCCGTGGGAGTTAAGTAAATACCGCCGGCCACGGAAGCAGCCAGGCCTTCGGGCTGGGTTGCGACCATGGCAAAGTCTAGTTTGGACCATATTAGGACCTGCTAAGACAAGCCAAGACCAGAACTTGACTAAGCTTTGACCAGCTTGGACATGTTATGACCAAAACATTGACTAAGCCTTGACCAGCTTGGACATGTTATGATCATCTTTGACCAGTGACCCTATGCGGAAATGCTTGGGTTTTCCCACGAAAAACGACAGTGTGTCACGTCTTAAACGCGTGGGAGTCAAGTAATCCCACGAAAAACGACCTTGTGTCACATCTTGACCTCGTGGGAGTCAAGTAAATACCGCCGGCCGCGGAAGCAGCCCGGCCTTCGGGCTTGGTTGCTACCATGGCAAAGTCTAGTTTGGACCATATCAGGACCTGCTAAGACAAGCCAAGACCAGAACTTGACTAACCTTTGACCAGCTTGGACATGTTATGACCAAAACATTGACTAAGCCTTGACCAGCTTGGACATGTTATGATCAATCTTTGACCAGTGACCCTATGCGGAAACGCTTGGGTTTTCCCACGAAAAACGACCTTGTGTCACGTCTTGACCACGTGGGAGTCAAGTAATCCCACGAAAAACGACCTTGTGTCACAACATGTCCTCGTGGGAGTCAAGTAAATACCGCCGGCCCCGGAAGCAGCCCGGCCTTCGGGCTGGGTTGCGACCATGGCAAAGTCTAGTTTGGACCATATCAGGACCTGCTAAGACAAACTAGGTCTAACTTGGACCAGAACTTGACTAAGCTTTGACCAGCTTGGACATGTTATGACCAATCTTTGACCAGTGACCCTATGCGGAAACGCTCGGGTTTCCCACGAAAAACGACCTTGTGTCACATCTTGACCCCGTGGGAGTTAAGTAAATACCGCCGGCCACGGAAGCAGCCAGGCCTTCGGGCTGGGTTGCGACCATGGCAAAGTCTAGTTTGGACCATATCAGGACCTGCTAAGACAAGCCAAGACCAGAACTTGACTAAGCTTTGACCAGCTTGGACATGTTATGACCAAAACATTGACTAAGCCTTGACCAGCTTGGACATGTTATGACCAATCTTTGACCAGTGACCCTATGCGGAAACGCTTGGGTTTTCCCACGAAAAACGACCTTGTGTCACATCTTGACCTCGTGGGAGTCAAGTAAATACCGCCGGCCTCGGAAGCAGCCCGGCCTTCGGGCTGGGTTGCGACCATGGCAAAGTCTAGCTTGACCATATCAGAACCTGCTAAGACAAGCCAAGACCAGAACTTGACTAAGCTTTGACCAGCTTGGACATGTTATGACCAAAACATTGACTAAGCCTTGACCAGCTTGGACATGTTATGATCATCTTTGACCAGTGACCCTATGGGAACGCTTGGGTTTTCCCACGAAAAACGACCTTGTGTCACGTCTTGACCCCGTGGGAGTCAAGTAATCCCACGAAAAACGACCTTGTGTCACATCTTGACCTCGTGGGAGTCAAGTAAATACCGCCGGCCGCGGAAGCAGCCCGGCCTTCGGGCTGGGTTGCTACCATGGCAAAGTCTAGTTTAGACCATATCAGGACCTGCTAAGACAAGCCAAGCCCAGAACTTGACTATGCTTTGACCAGCTTGGACATGTTATGACCAAAACATTGACTAAGCCTTGACCAGCTTGGACATGTTATGGTCAATCTTTGACCAGTGACCCTATGCGGAACGCTTGGGTTTCCCACGAAAAACGACCTTGTGTCACATCTTGACCCCGTGGGGAGTTAAGTAAATACCGCCGGCCACGGAAGCAGCCAGGCCTTCGGGCTGGGTTGCGACCATGGCAAAGTCTAGTTTGGACCATATCAGGACCTGCTAAAACAAGCCAAGACCAGAACTTGACTATGCTTTGACCAGCTTGGACATGTTATGACCAAAACATTGACTAAGCCTTGACCAGCTTGGACATGTTATTGTCAATCTTTGACCAGTGACCCTATGCGGAAACGCTTGGGTTTTCCCACGAAAAACGACCTTGTGTCACGTCTTGACCACGTGGGAGTCAAGTAATCCCACGAAAAACGACCTTGTGTCACATCTTGACCTCGTGGGAGTCAAGTAAATACCGCCGGCCACGGAAGCAGCCCGGCCTTCAGGCTGGGTTGCGACCATGGCAAAGTCTTGTTTGGACCATATCAGGACCTGCTAAAACAAGCCAAGACCAGAACTTGACTATGCTTTGACCAGCTTGGACATGTTATGACCAAAACATTGACTAAGCCTTGACCAGCTTGGACTTGTTATTGTCAATCTTTGACCAGTGACCCTATGCGGAAACGCTTGGGTTTTCCCACGAAAAACGACCTTGTGTCACGTCTTGACCACGTGGGAGTCAAGTAATCCCAAGAAAAACGACCTTGTGTCACATCTTGACCTCGTGGGAGTCAAGTAAATACCGCCGGCCACGGAAGCAGCCCGGCCTTCAGGCTGGGTTGCGACCATGGCAAAGTCTAGTTTGGACCATATCAGGACCTGCTAAGACAAAATAGGTCTAACTTGGACCAGAACTTGACTAAGCTTTGACCAGCTTGGACATGTTATGACCAATCTTTGACCAGTGAGTCTATGCGGAAACGCTCGGGTTTCCCACGAAAAACGACCTTGTGTCACATCTTGACCCCGTGGGAGTTAAGTAAATACCGCCGGCCACGGAAGCAGCCAGGCCTTCGGGCTGGGTTGCGACCATGGCAAAGTCTAGTTTGGACCATATCAGGACCTGCTACAACAAGCCAAGACCAGAACTTGACTAACCTTTGACCAGCTTGGACATGTTATGACCAAAACATTGACTAAGCCTTGACCAGCTTGGACATGTTATGACCAATCTTTGACCAGTGACCCTATGCGGAAACGCTTGGGTTTTCCCACGCAAAACGACCTTGTGTCACATCTTGACCTCGTGGGAGTCAAGTAAATACCGCCAGCCAGGGAGTAGGAAGCCTTCCTGATTCGCGACTTTGACGCGCCCAGTCAAGTCGACCAAGCCCAGCAGCAGTAGCAGCAGTTGTTCAAACAGTCCTTTTCAGGGCTAACTTCCGAAAGTCATTCGATCACCACTCTTCAAGGCTCCACTCACTTCACTTTCTGCTACTGCCTTCCCCCTGCAGTTTCCAGATCACTCCCGCAGCTTCCAGCACTCCTGCAGCCTCCAGCTCACTCCTGCAGCTTCCAGCACTCCTGCAGCTTCCAGCACTCCTACCGCCTCCAGCTCACTCCTACCGCTTCCAGCTCACTCCTGCAGCTTCCAGCTCACTCCTGTAGCTTCCAGCACTCCTGCAGTTTCCAGCTCACTCCTGCAGCTTCCAGCACTCCTGCAGTCCCCAGCTCACCCCAACAGCTTCCAGCGGCCTCCAGCTCACCCCTGCGGCGCTCTACTGACGTCCCGCTACCTATTCCAGCACCCGCTGACGATCTAATCCAGTGCCCACTGACGTCCAGCGCCCGTTAACGTCCGGATACCGTTCCCGAACAAACGACCTCTGTCGTCTTACCAGCCACCGTTCGCAAATAAAGACACGATTTCTATCGTCTACAACGGACCATCTGCGTTTGTCATCCTTCTTTGCTATTGCCATCTCCTTGCCTTTGTGTCCCCTTTTTAGTTGTACGGTCGATTGGCACTCACACCCCTCGGCCCGCTGCAACATATCTCAAGCCAGAACGCCTAGATGTAGACCCGAATAAACCTGACTCAGCCGACACATGGCGACATTGGAAAAGATCCTTCCATATCTTTCTCGAAGCGGCCGGTGAATCCCAACAGACTCCACTGACAGACAGGCTGAAACTGAATTTACTTATCAACCTTGTCTCTCCCACTATCTTTAAACACATCTCCGACGTGGACGATTACGATTCTGCCATGGACGTTCTGGGAGGAATGTTTGTGCAGCCTAGAAAGACCATCTTCTGTAGACATCTGCTGGCTACTCGTCGTCAACAAACAGACGAGAGTGTAGACCAGTATTTGCAAGCTTTAAAGAAACTCGCCAAGAATTGCGAGTTCCAGGCTGTTACAGCTATTACAGGCGAGAGACGAATACATACGAGACGGAATTTATAAACGGAATTTCGTCTAATCACATCAGACAATGACTCCTGGAAAACAAAACACTAGATCTAGGCACTGCTTATGACCAGGCGTTAACACTTGAGATGGCACAGAAACAATTAGCATCCTACTCTCAACAGAACTCACTAAAAATTGCCAAAAGAAAGGACATTTTGCTCGTGTCTGCAGATCACCTACTGCAGTTGCTATCAACCACGGTGAGTCTATTCTAGCGTTTTCCATTCCATCTCATAATTTCTCAGAGAGTCTATCTTGCACGACTTTGCGTGGAAAAATCAAAGGCAAGTTTCTAAAAATACTTATTGATACTGGCAGCTCTGAAAATTTTATTAATTCTGACAAGGTTAAAAGGCTCGGATTGGCAGTCTCGCCAAGTTCAGAAAGAATTTTTATGGCTAGCAGTTCCCATTCATCCTCTATTCTTGGACATTGTATAGTATCCCTCAATCTAAGCGGTAGAGAGTACAGTAATGTCAAGTTGTCTGTTATGGCTAACTTATGCTGTGATGTCATTCTTGGGCATAATTTTCTACGTCAGCATTCTTCAGTGAAAATACCTATCGGGAGACTGCTTCCACCTCTCACTGTTTCTGGAATAACTGCAATTAATAATGTCTCTTACCTCTCTCTGTTTGCGAATCTAACTTCTGACTGTCATCCAATAGCAGTAAAATCCAGGAGACATAGCCTACCTGACACTAAATGCATTCGTTCAGAAATATCGCGGATGCTGAAGGAAGGAATTATAGAGCCATCTCAATCGCCATGGCGAGCCCAAACTCTGGTAGTGTCTCCTGAAAATCACAAAAAGAGACTCGTCGTGGATTATTCCCAGACGATTAATCGGTTCACTCTTCTGGATGCTTATCCACTTCCTCGGATAGAGGACATGGTAAATGAGATTGCCTGTTATCAGGTATTTAGCACACTTGATCTAACCAGTGCCTATCACCAGGTTGCCATCAAGCCAGAAGAACGAATATATACTGCCTTCGAAGCTGCTGGGTCTCTGTACCAATTTTGTCGAATCCCTTTCGGAGTGACCAATGGAGTAGCAAGTTTCCAACGAGTCATCGATGACATTATCAGGCGAGAAGACCTCCGAGGAACCTACGCCTATATCGACAATGTTACCATCTGCGGTCATAACCAGGCTGAACATGACAACAATCTAAAGAAATTTATGAGTAGTGTGGCAAAGTACGGCTTAACACTGAATAAAAGTAAATGCCATTATTCACTTAGTTCAGTGGACTTGCTTGGGTATACTATAAGCATGGGTTCAGTAAAACCTGACCCCGACAGACTCAAAGGATTGGTGGATCTGCCAGTACCTCAAGACCATATCTCTCTCCGACGAGCAATGGGGATGTTCTCTCACTATTCTAGGTGGATATCAAATTTCTCCGAAAAATTACATCCCTTAACTAGAGTTACCCATTTTCCTCTCACTAAAGAACAAACGGATGCCTTCAGGCATCTAAAGAAGGAGATCGCAAAATCGTCCCTGATGGCTATAGACTCTACTCTACCTTTTGAGATTGAGACTGATGCTTCGGAACATGCTATTGCTGCCTCTCTAACCCGAAACCGTCGGCCTGTAGCTTTCTTTGCAAGCTAACTTCTGCCGAGCAAAAGCACTCATCAGTTGAAAAGGAGGCTTATGCAATCGTAGAAGCGATCAGAAAGTAGCGACACTTATTACTCGGGAGACATTTTAAGCTCATCACAGATCAGAAATCTGTCTCCTACATGTTCGATCTTAAAAGTAAAAACAAGATAAAAAACGAGAAGATCACTAGATGGAAATTAGAACTTGCCTGTTTCAGTTACGACATAGCCTATCGTCCCGGAAAACAAAATGCTGCTGCGGACGCTTTATCACGAATCTGCTCTTCTACCATCTCTGTTGGCAAACTACATATCTTGCACAAAGATTTATGTCACCCCGGGGTAACCCGAATGCTGCATTTTGTCAGAAGTAAAAATATGCCATACTCTGTAGAAGATGTAAGAGCGGTAACCAGGTCATGCCAAGTGTGTTCCGAGATTGCCTAGATTCATTAAAATGCCTCCCTCAAACACTCATAAAAGCAAGCCAACCCTTTGAATGATTAAGTATAGTCTTCAAGGGACCTTTACCTTCAAATTCTCGCAATCGGTTCATACTAACAGTGGTTGACGAATACTCCCGTTTTCCTTTCGCTTACCCTTGTGCCGATGTCTCAGCAGCGACTGTCAAGAAACATCTAACCAGTTTATTTTCCATTTTTGGAAACCCTTCTTTTGTGCACTCTGATCGTGGTACAGCTTTTATGTCAGACGAATTAAAAGCATTTCTACTTTCTCGACGCATTGCCACCAGTCGAACAACTGCCCACAGGGCAATGGACAAGCAGAGAGGTACAATGGTATCATCTGGCAAACGGTCTAATAATCTCCCGATTGCTAGTTGGGAAAAGGTTCTAGATGTAGCACTCCACTGCATTCGCTCATTGCTTTCTACTGCCTCGAACTGTACTCCTCATGAACGTTTGTTTAATTTCCAAAGGAAATCAGCTTCTGGTGATTCCATACCAACATGGTTAACAAAATCAAAATCAGCGCTCCTGAGGCGCCATGTACGCGGGAGTAAATATGAGCCTTTAGTCGAGACAGTTGACATACTCGAAGTCTATCCGAACTATGCTCACGTGCGACTTAATAATGGACGAGAAACGACAGTATCTCTACGCCATATTGCACCATTGGGTGACAAAACAAACAGTTCACACACGGAACTCGATCCAATGGATGCCCCTATCCAGTCTAACACTACTCTTCCTTCTCCTCTGCTGAGTGCTCTCGAAAATTCTGTTATTGACGATTCAGCTGCCCTCGAAAACAATGCCACTGAAAATTCCACTCCTCTGCCTTTGGATAACTCCCAGAGGATCACTTCAGAAGACACTGATGTATTGAATCTTCGACGCTTCTCTAGAATTCGTCGAAAATCTCCGTATTTAGCTGAAAATTATCAGTTTTGAACATCTGCTTTTCTCTCTTTTCTATTTTCAGTTTGAGCAGAGACACCCATAGAAACCTCACCTTTCCAGAAGAACATATGAACCTGAACTTTTCCTTAGGTGGCGGAGAATGTGGTGAAAATAGAAGAACTCTTTAATCTTTCTTTGACTTTCCAGGACTGAATGATTTCCTCTTGTTTTTGTCTTCCTCTCTCCATGAGGTAGTCGGCCATTTTCCTGTAACGGTTCGCTACCGGAATAGATTTCTAGTAGAATAAAGCTTCACTCAAGCTATACGGACTCAGCCTTTCTTTTACTTCCACTCAATCCATTGTCATAACACTGGTAAAAACATGAGGTTTTCATTCCTGGTTAGTAGATAGTTGAAAATGGTTAAATGTTGTCTCCAATTATTTGGTTTAGAATTTGTGGGGAATTCAGATTCGCTCCTTTGATTTCTTTTCAATTTGCTTAAAAGCTGGTACATACGGGCACACGATGCGTTGTTCGTTTGTGCTAAATCTTGTATTGCTTTGATGAGGATCTACTTCAACGGATGACTTCAAAAGATCATCATCTAAAGTAAATTATAAATAAAACACAACCTAATATATAAATGAAAACTATTTAGCAACACTTTTTCGATTGTTGGTGCTTCTCCAGAATTGGAATCTCCAGGGATTAGGCAGATTTAATTCAATTTTACGTCTTGTACAGGGACAAGAGAGAACTGACCCCAGTATTTATTGCCCCGCCCACGAGAACAAAAACTAGATTAATTGGGTAGTCAAAAGTGTCCATTTTTGTGATCTGTATCACAAACCATCAGGATGACTTAAAATCTTCCGCTTAAGTGCAACAGAGAATCTCTACTCAGAAGTAGTAATCTGTAGAATTCTGGCATCTCTTCTTATGTTCCATTTCAAAGACCAGCCACATGTGCTTTAATAAAATTATTAGATGGCACAGATGGAAAACTAAATCCAGATCTTGTTTTTTATTATTTAACATAATTTTACAGTGGTTGATTTGGCCTAAATTTGCGTATTTCAAAGGCGATATAAATTTGCATTACCACATGAAATATTAAACAGAATAATTCTACAATTCAACTCGCTGATTAGTTTTAATGGTTTATTTACTTACCAACGAACAGCACTGATATCCTGGGACACACTCAAAAAGAGGTGCATATGTAAAGATTGGTGCTGGGCATGCTTTCTCATCTGTTCCGGGGAGGCAGAGGACGGGTCCCGGAGGAGTAAGTTCTGGATATTTAGTACCACATATTTTACCTACAAGAGCAAAATTAAATGTTAATCAACTGTCTCGACAAATAGAAAAGAAAACATTTTTAAAATTAAAGTTAGT